CCCATTACCCTTGGAAAATCCGTTATCCTCGGCCATCGTCGGAAAACCCATCCGCCATATCCAACCGCGAGACCGAAACGGAAATCTCCAATTACCTCTCTAGCGGAACAAAATAATAACAAAAACCATTAGAAATCAGCAAGCCGCCAAATCCAGCCATCTCGCCATTTTCCAGCTCATCCTCGCCTCATCCTTCACCCAACATCCGCCTTTTCCATTTGGAAGAATGGACGGAAACAACAAAACAATGGCTTGTCGACGCATTCCTTTCTTCACATGCACGTCTCCGTTTAACATTTTCCATCTATGCTCCCGTCCAATTAAACGTAATTGCCGCCAATTAGAACCCCAGCGGCGTCTCGTCAACGGTATTTTCGGCACACGCCGTTGCGAAAGCCCAATTGGGCGATTTTCAGCAATAATGCGTAAGATGAGAACCGGCTTTCACCTCTCGATTCACATCATTATACTCGTATTAGTCGGCCATTGTTCGGCGAAATTAGAACACAACGCGCTCTACCCACGCAATGCGATAACTTGGAATCGATCTTTTGTTTCAACACCCTCTGGCGATTGCGGAACTTGTCTTAACAGACGTAATGGCAATGCGGGCTACAAGGTCACTACCTCTACAAGAGTTAAATGTCTTGTCGTTGAAGCCGATGACCGCTGGATGGATGGATGTGTTCGCTGCATGGTACTACCGGTGAGGAGTTTCCTCCATTTGTGGAAAACTCGATTCGTGCGGGGCTTTTCACGCTTCGAGGGAGCCGTTGATGGTAAACAAAGCGAAAAATGCAGCCCGACGATGAGTCGAGCAAATATTTGCTTATTATGGCTGCATTTTTCGCAAACACATATTGCGAAAACGATATAGTGAGCACTCGGTGGATCGTTTTCAAATTTATGGCGAGAACTGGAACTTTCACCAAGAAATGGGGATAAACATCGATTATTAGTTCCTTTTTTAAGTAAATCGACTTGAGGTGGCCAATTAGCGCTTACGCAACTTAAAATGCAAGTTTCACATATGTGATTTCTTTATGCCAAACTAAGTACGGCTACAATTATCGGGCATTGTTTTTAACGGACCTAGGTCGCATATTCTCTTTGTGAATATATCGGAAAATGCTTCACTGATTAACCACCCAAACCCCGAGTCCTACCTGCCGTCCATAAATAAGTTTAAAATGTCAGTAAGCTTTTACTTTGCATCTTAATGGCACTTGAAATGAATAATTTTATTACGTGGGTACGTTGAATTTATTAGAACAGCGTAAAAGCGTATAATTTATTCAAATTTTAATACAAGTGCATGTTCTGTTCGAACGCCACCGTTTTATTTACGATAACAACGCGCATTGTAGGGAATGAATCATACTATAATTAGAGATGCATCAGTGTCAAATAGAGAATGATAATTCTACCTCGTCTAGATCGTTTTGATAAGATTCCATTAATAGGTTTCCTTGAAAATACTTATTATCACTTCCTTGTGGAGATAAGATAAATGAGAGAAATCTGCTAATGTAAAGTCTTCCAAGCGTAATTTGGAGCGGCTAATTAATGAACAGAATTACAAAAATCGAATCAAAGAAAAAAGTCTCGTATTAACGCAATAAAAGTCCTTCCTGTAGTTTACACATGATAAAAATATCACTAAGTAACTATAATGAAAGGTATGCCTACTGAGAACGTAATAGATTCCATGACAGTTGGCATACGAAACTCCTACACATTAATTCTGATTTACCCTGAAACGAAACTGTAATTCTTGAACTCATTAATTCGTTATACTCCAACAAGTTAAAAACATTAGGCATACGCTACAATTATCTTAACTCTAAATAATATCCCAGATTTACTTAATAATTTCTTGCAATGACGTCATCACATTTCGATGGGGAATGAATAAACAAATTTTACTATATTATATATAATGAACGAAGAGCTATAAGGTTATATGGCCATCATAAAAGTAGTTGACCGCAAATAAATACCCCCTTTGTGTGGTTCGCATTAAGCTTACCGGTTGGCAATAAATCATCTTCTAAACATTTCTTGCTCATATTTAACAGGGCCGGCTTTCAAAGCGAGTGGTTATTTCGGAACCCTCAGCGGCTGCAGGTAGTAAAGAAATAGTGGAGTGATGGATTTTCATATTTAGTGAAAGCCGCCCCTGAACGAAACCACAAGAGCCGGTCGAGCTGCAGTGGACACGTTATTTACGACCCTAAAACCTTTTCTATTGTAAACAACTTAACGTCGACACAATGGGATGATTTTATGATGACCATATAACCTTATAGCTCTTGGTTCACTATACATATAATAAGAAAATCTCACTTGGAACACCCTCATTTACCGATGGTTCAATAACCCACAACCCATTTTCTAAATTGCTTACGCACGATGTCTTAAAAACATTAATCATAACGATCCCCACCAAAAAGTTGATGACGTCATCTCAAAGAAATTATTTTTTATTAAAAAATACGCCACGACGCATGCAGTAAGCAGATTTTTTGACGCCATTTAAACGTGAGTTACTACTCCGCATGCTACAATTAATTACCTATTGGCAACACAACAATTACGGTTCTTAGAAGTCGCCAAGTTAAATACATGAAGTTAACGCGGATTCCTGGAACAGTTTATTTTTATTTCGACGTTTAATGAAAGGACAAAACGACTATAAAACATTCTGCAACACATTATTTGGAATTTTCGAAAAGAAAACCTGTTATTTAAAAACTGGACTACTCAAAATTCTTGTCGTAAAATTAGATTTTTGTGTTAAAATTTTCATAACTTTTGATCATTTGAAACAGAGCACCTCGTTTATCCAGCTCTAACATATAGCCATGTATTTTTCTAGGTTACAGCTGTCATATATGTCTTCTATTCTTTGCATACTATATCTTATCACATACTCCAACGCCAACACACCACGATAACACAAATTCAGGAAGAATGTTCCTACTACCTTATCTCCAAATGCAGATATCCACACTGGAGTAAAAAAATTCGGGTGAAACATTACAAATACACAAAAAACTGAAAAAATATCACCTTCAGCGTTACATAAACACCGTAATCAAACCTGACAACGAATTCAAGGTTATTTGTAATTTTTTAGCACCGTTTCTTAACCACCGTACCAATAAAAACCCGACATTACGATTTCTAGAGGTGATTTGGTATCATTTCCATTCCGCGAGTGACTAATTTTGACTACCAGTAAGACAAAAGTAAAAACAAATAGAAAAATTAAGTTAAAGCATGCAGTGACGTAAACGTTGCTTAATTTTCAGCAATACCTTCATTAGCATTATTCACACTTTCACCAAAGAATAACAAAAGAAAATCTTTTATAATATGATTATTTAAATACGGGTTATTATGTGTAAAGTATATGAAGCAATAAAAAAATGGACGAGAAGGGGTTCCAGTGACGTCACAATTAGGACTGCGAAAATCAAGTTTAAGAATTTGCGTAAACCCAGCCTTCTGTGAATGCGGATCTACAATAATAGTAATTAAAATAGTTACGAAATCGCGTAAACGCACTTCGTGGGACAGCCTGTACATTATAATCGCTTGAAATGACGCACCTTCCTGCGATTTTCGATAAAATTATTTAAATATGTACATTATGATGTGTGAATTTGTGAGGCAACGAACAGTTACTTTGGAGGAGTTTCAAGCGTTTCCGTCGTGAAAACACTTACGCGAACTAGGGTCAAGTGAAAAAACTGCGATTAAAAATATAATAAAATTGCGTAACACCTATACCTAATTGTTTGACAATGACGCATATTGTGTCAACAAATTATGGTCAAAAATATTCAAGAACGCACGAACTTCGTGAGACACTCTGTAGATTATAACTCAGTCACATACAAATAAATTCCTGTGTTTTGTTTGTGCCTATTTCCCTAATTCTGCACACTGTTTTTAAAAACAAATTTTACTGAAGTAGGGCAAAATCGTGTTAACGTGTTTCGTGAAACACCTGTGCATGATCTTATAGAAGTGGCACATTTCGCTCTGGTTTTGAACGATGATTTAATGCCGTCATTTTGTAGATAGTGTATAGAGTTCATCACTGAAAACATAAAACACACTAGATTTGCAAATTTATTCGATATAATGACAGCTCTCGTGTACCTACTTCAGAAAACTTTTTTAGAAAGAAGATATTTTCATTGATTAAATTTTAAGCATTGTTTTAGTCACTCAGAGTCACTTATCTACTACATAACGTCACTTGTCAATCAAAATAATGACTTTGATTGCTCTCAGAAATCCCCCCAACGTCAAATAAAACTTTAAAATTTGCATTTCGTCATTTTTCCATTAGTCATTCAGGTTCTACTACTATTTAGGTCTACTACATATACTTACATAAACCGTTATAGAAATACTATAATGAAGCATATTTGATTCAAAAATTTTGTGCCACCCCTGGTCGACTTGACGGATCACAGTCAATCGAAACTTCACGCTCTTCGTGAAACACCCTGTACACGTCCGTACCGCCGCAGCTCACTCGATTTTCGCCAGACGTTCCGCATAACCGTGGAATTCCATTCAAAAACGTGCCTCTTTCGTGCACGCAAGCCGCATTCCGCACCCCGAACATCTGTCGGCCCCTTTGTCTCACCCCTTTTCATCCCCCGCGCCCGCCCCTGCCGCCCATTGACATTCCGGTCAAGTGCTGCCACCCACGTTTTTTTTTTCCACAGCCTCCCCCGATCGCGCTCCACTGGTTATCCGCTTCGCTGAAGATGGACGAAGAGTACCGAAACCGGAAACGCGTCGAGTTCACCGTCCAAAGAAATTGATACAGCACGTAAAAGAGGATGACCGTGATCTCGTTCGATGACGTAATAACAGTACGTTGGAACAATAGTGCCCCCAGCGAGCCGTGTAGACGCCGGAAATGGCATGAAGGACACCTCGGTACCGAAAGCGCCCCGAAAGCCCACAGTACTTACGCCTTCGCTCTGAGATGATCGCTTTTGTCGAGGCACACAAAATAACGTCACCGTAAAGCCTTTTCTTCCACTTTTTTTCTTTTGTTTTGGGCTAATGGCACAGGGTCACTAGATGGAGAGAGCAGCGGCGCGCACTGCAGGGTTGGCACTACACTAGACGGAAAAACGAACACATAATCAAAATAAAAACACAAATCGAAACGAAAATTTAAATGCACTACATGTCAAAACATTAAAACTGGCTAGAATAAAACGCGACTGCGTCACGAACGAGAGGCGACGAGCCGCCCCACCCGAAGAACAAACAAACGTTGGAGAGGTGGCAGGCCTGCAGACGAACACGGACCGTATCGCGTAGTGCGTCAAGGGCGAAATTCGCGTCAAGCTTTTTTACGAAGAGCGCATGCCTTCTCGTTTCTAATTCCCTAATTGTGAAAAGAGACGATTTAAATTCAAGTTATTAATTAGATTGCAGTTAAACCCACTTGGCCTTGTTGCCACTTGGATAATTAAGTCCTTGAGGGAGTAATTAATAAAGTCATTAAATATTGTTTTTAATGCAACCCGCAGTACACGCCTGTTGCGATTATTGCATGCCGACCTAAATATTTTTCAAAACTAAAAAACAATTTCGTAAATTGCTTTGAAATGTATCTTTTGTAAAACGTTGACTGGAAATGATACAAAGATTAACAGTTGTTGCCTAATTATGCCATCAATCAATGTTTGGAAAAATGGGTCAGCGTACGCAGGACCGGACTGGGCTAAGGAACCGTTACATCAAGCATCTTTCAACATGAAGTAATAAAAGTGTTTGCTCTCAATGAAAATTTTTATAACTGTAATTATTAACCATGATTTTTTGGCAGGATAAATAATAAATAATAATAATAAAGGAATAACCAGTATAAAATTATCAAACGAAAATTTCCAAATAAAAAAACTGAAACACTAAAAATTGAAAACTCGAGAAATTCTAATCAAAAAACTGATGAAACAAAAAAAATGAAAAACTGAAAAATTGCAATTCGACAAATTGAAGAAACGGAAAGTTGAAAACATTGAAATTGAAAAAAATAAAAAGAAAATATAAAATTGGGACATTGAAAAATCGAAAAATGTAAAAATAAAGAAAATAAAAAACTGAAACGAAAAATTGAAAAATTAAAAATCGAAAACTCGAGAAATTTTAAATCGAAACAAAAAAGATAAAAAATTGAAGAAATTAAAATTGGAAAAAGAAAAAATTCCAAATCGAAAAACTGAAAAACTAAACATTGAAAATTCGAGAAACTCAAATCAAAATATTGTAAAATCGAAAAATTGAGAAATTCAAAAGTTGAAAAACTGAAAGACTGAAAAATTTAGACGTGAAAACTCGAAAAATTGCAATTTGACGAATTGAAGAAATGGAAGGTTGAAACGTTGAAACTGCAAAAACAAAAAAAAACAAAATCGGAAAATTGAAAAATCGAAAAAATAAAGAAAACAAAACACCGAAACGAAAAATTGAAAAATTGAAAACTGTAGAAATTTTAAATCGAAAAATTGCAAAATCTAAAATTTGAAGAAATAAAAAAGATAAAAAATCAAAATTGAAAAAAGAAAAAATTATAAACTGAAAAATGAAAAACTAAGAATTGAGAAATTCAAAAGTTGAAAAATTGAAAATTGAAAAATTTAAACTCGAAAAGTCGAAAAATTGCAAATCGAGAAACTGATGAAACAAAAAAAATTAAAAACAAAGGTTGCAATTTGACAAATTGAAGAAACGGAAGGTCGAAAATATTGAAATTGAAAAAATATATATAAAATGGGAACATTGACAAATTGGAAAAATGTAAAAATAAAGAAAATAAAAAACTGAAACAAAAAATTGAAAGATTAAAAATTGAAAACTGCAAAAATTTTAAATTGAAAAATTGCATAATTTAAAAATTGAAGAAACAAAAAAGATGAAAAATTGATAAAAATAAAATTGAAGAAACAAGAAATTATGAAATCGAAACATTAAAAAATCGAGTAAGTGAAAAAATAAAGAAAATATAAAACCGAAAGGAAAAATTCCAAATCGAAAAACTGAAAACTCTAGAAACTCAAGTCGAAATATTGTAAAATCGAACAACTGAGAAAGCCAAAAGTTGAAAATTTGAAAAACTGAAAAATTTAGACTTGAAAACTCGAAAAATCGCAAATCGAAAAACTGATGAAAAAAAATGAGAAACTGAAAAATTGCAATTTGCCAAATTGAAGAAACGGAAACTTGAAAACATTGAAATTGAAAAAACAAAAAAAAATATAAAAATTGGAACATTAAAAAATCGAAAAATAAAAAACTGAAACGAAAAATTGAAAAATTAAAAATTGAAAACTGAAATTTTAAATCGAAAAATTTCAAAATCTAGAAATTGAAGAAACAAAAAAGACGAAAAATTGATAAAAATAAAATTGAAAAAAGAGAAAATTATAAAATCGAAATATTTAAAAATCGAATAAGTGAAAAAATAAAGAAAATAAAAAACCGAAACCCAAAGTTCCAAATCGAAAAAAATGAAAAACTAGACATTGAAAATTCGAGAAACTCAAATCGAAATATTGTCAAATCGAAAAATTGAGAAATTCAAAAGTTGAAAAATTAAAAAACTGAAAAATTTAGAGTCGAAAATTCGAAAAATTGCAGTTTGACAAATTGAAGAAACGGAAGCTTGAAAACATTGAAATTGAAAAAATATACATAAAATTGGAACACTGACAAATCGAAAAAATGCAAAAATAAAGAAAATAAAAATTTAATGATTAAAAATTGAAAACTCGAGAAATTTTAAATTGAAAAATTGCGTAATCTCGAAAATGAAGAAACAAAAAGATGAAAAATTGATAAAAATAGAATTGAAAAAACAAGAAATTATGAAATCGAAACATTTCAAAATCGAGTAAGTGAAAAAATAAAGAAAACATAAAACCGAAACGAAAATTTCCAAATCGAAAAACTGAAAACTAAAAATTTGAAACTCTTGAAACTCAAATCGAAATATTGTAAAATCAAACAATTGAGAAAGCCAAAAGTTGAAAATTTGAAAAACTGAAAAATTTAGACTTGAAAACTCGAAAAATCGCAAATCGAAAAACTGGAGCAAAAAAAAAGAGAAAATGAAAAATTGCGAAAAGTTGAAAAGCTTGAAAATGAAAGAAACAAAAAAAAATACTCCTTTATAAAATCGGAACATTGAAAATCGAAAAAATGTAAAATTTGAAGAAACGAAAAACATAAAAAATTAAAAAAATATAATTGAAAAAACGATATATTACAAAATCGAAACATTTAAAAACCAAAGAAATTAAAAAACCAAATCAAAAATTGCAATTTGAAAAACTGACCAACTAAAAATTAAAAACTCGATTAAATCGAAAAATTGCAAAATCTAAAAATTGAAAAATTTAGAAGTTGTAAAATTGAAAAATTTAAAAATGAAAACTCGAATAGTTGTATATCGTAGAATTGAAGAAACAAAAAAAAATTAAAAATTGCAAATTACAAAAACGGTAGATTGAAAAAGTTGAAATGGAAAAAAAATTATAAAATCGGTTACTTGAAAAATCAAAAATATGTAAAAATAAGGAAAATAAAAAACCGAAGTGAAAAATTGAAAACTCTAGAAATTTTAAATGGAAAAATTACAAAATCTAAAAATTGAAGAAACAAAAAAGATGAAAAATTGACAAAATTAAAAATGAAAAAATAAAAACATTTAAACATCGAATAAATGAAAAAATTAAGAAAATAAAATATAAGTTAATTAATAAAAGCGTTTCCTCTCAATGAAAAGTAGACCTTATTTCTATAACTGTAATTATTAACCACGATTTTTTTGGCAGGAAAAATAGTAAATAATAATAATAAATGAACAACAAGTATAAAATTATCATTGAATGTGGAATTTTGTTTGTGCTATATTCAGGTCATAAATTACTTACATAATAAGATTATCATATTTATAAAGAAAGTATTTTGAAGTGTTAAGCAAAACCGCTGCAAGCTTCAAGGTCATCCCACATTTGTACAAAAAATCCAAAATAATGAAAAAAGTATAAACACCCAGGTATTCTATGGAGCTAAGTAGATCTTTAAACTGCTACACTAAACTTAAGCCTAATCGAATTACAAAATAACCACCACGGAAGACTTACAATCATCAGATAACTGGTGATATTGGTGAATAAAAAACGGTTTGATTTTTAAAACAGGTTTTTTTATTTAAAAGATGAAACTTGTTTTTTGTTTTTAGAATGTACAGAAATTTTAAAGTTTTAAAATAACATACAAATTAAGTCTTCAACACAATACATTTTCTTCTAACTGGGTATAATTTAATGAAACCCAATTACAGTTGATGGGCTTTTATAACCCAAATACGTCCCTGCTTCATCATGCCAACAAAAAAATAGGTCATCTGTCAAATGTCAAATCGAAGGAATTGATCAATTCGGAACCTGTTTTTATGGCGACTGCAGTTGTAATTGACCCCCGAATTAACACATTTCCCAAAAATATGTGTCCACCGCCACAAAATAGCCCCTAACAAGCTAAAATTTCGGTTCTTTGAACCCGAAAAAGTGAGGTTAGTTCAATGTCAGTGACAAGTGACAGTGTCTCTAAGACATCAATTTCTTGTAAATAATCACCCCAGACACCCCAACGATGAAACAACGCCACTTAAAACCGCTTCTATAGCCCCAAAACCACGAAGGCTATGTCCATCAAGCAAGAAACCCTGCCTCTGGAGGCTATGGTGATCAAACAAGAAACAGACTCAGATTCCCACATCTTCCTCAATTTCAAACAGGAAAACTCGGAGACACCTGAGGCGAAGCCTGAAATCACGCTAAATGCTGACCACCGCTGCAAAGTGTGCAAGAAACCGTTCGAAACCGAGGACGACCTTCTCGATCACATCAACTCAAAACTGAACGATAAATCCTTTTCGTGTTGCGCTTGCGGTAAGAAATTTCGGGACAATACACAGCTGAACGTCCACGCACGCCGGCACACGGGGGAAAAGCCGTACGAATGTCAGCAGTGTGGGAAAAAGTTTTCCATTAATGGTAATCTAAGTAAGCACATGAGGACCCATACGGGCGAACGCAGGTTTGAGTGTGATGTTTGTTCGCGGAAGTTCACGCAGTTCGCGCATTTGGAGGATCACTTAAAGACGCATTCTGGGGAGAGACCGTTTCAGTGTGATATTTGTAAAAGTTCTTTTAAAACGAAAGCTAGGTTGAAAAAGCATAAGAAGAGTCATGAGGAGATGACGATGACGCGGAGGTCGGTGCAATGTCCGGTTTGTCATAAGATGATGAAGACTATGAAACAGTTGACCAACCATATGGATTGTCATTCGTCGGATAAGGCTGTCTTTCAGTGTGATATTTGTGGGAAGGGTTTCCACAATATGCTTTATTTACAAAATCACCAGAAAACGCACAGTGGGATCAGGCCGTTCAAATGCACGTTGTGTGAAAAGACTTTTATTACGTCAGCCCAGCTGAAAAGGCACTACAATTCACATACGGGTATTTTGTGTTTTCACGTACTGAAAAAAATTATTATGGTTGTTATGTAATTGCAGGTTATAAACCCTTCACGTGCGATTCGTGCCCCAAGTCTTTTCCCAACCTTCAAAACTTGAAACGTCACAAACTGACCCATACGGGGGAGAAGAACCACGCTTGTACCATCTGTGGGAGGAGTTTCATGATTGTTGAGAATTTGACGCGTCATATGAGAACCCACACGGGGGAGAAACCCTACCCTTGTGATATTTGTGGGCGGCGATTTGCTCATAGTACAACTGTGAAAGAGCATAGAAGAACGCACACAGGTGATAAACCATACGGGTGTGGTCTTTGCGATAAAAGATTCACAATAAATAAATTATTATATAAACATATTCGTACTAAGCATCCCGAGGATTTCAACGCATTTAAAGAAATGAATTTGAAAAAAAAATACGAATTTAAGTTTTTGAATGGAGACATGAAGCCAAATTTTTTTCCTATACCTGAGAGTGTGAAGCCTGAACCTGCCCTTGCCCTAATCAAAGTGGAAAAATTTGAACCTGAAGATGAAGATATGTAAATAGTTAAAAACCAGGGTTGTCAAGTCATCACATGTACAATTGTAGAAAAAATTAAATGAGTGTTGGTGTTTGTACACTAATTTTTTAATAAAAACCCTTACTTATTGTACAAATTTATTAAACGCAAGCCTATTCATCTTGCACAACAGTAGTCTTTTCAGACACGTATAAACCGTCCAAGAACATACGAATATCCTTATTTTTAACTGTTGTGGATTGTTGGATAAGTGCAGCCGATCTGGAAACATCCTCCAACGAATTTCCTTCAATAATTAGCTCATCTTTTTGCTTGGCTGAGTTTTTAACTGTAACTCCAGCAGCCATTTTCACTCTACAATAACACAAAAAATTAATACTCATCCAAAAACCCCCCATACCTCCACTCACCTCCTGATGTACTTTTCACCTAAGAAATTTCTGATTTCAATGACGCTATCGCTCTCAGTGGTCACACAATTAATGGGGAAATGGGCGTACACAGCTCTCATTTTGTATTGGTACCCTTTGGTAACCCCCTTCAACATATTCTCAACATGAGAGCACACGGTACGCACAGCGGCCAATTCTTTCTTGGTCCCGAACCACTTCTCCACCTTGAGTGTTCTGGGGTTGACCATCCGAATATCAACAGCGAGATGTTTAAAAGACCGTTTTAAAACACCACGGGGGCCCTTAACAGTCACCAGACGCGATTTTGCGTGCACTGTGATCCCTTCGGGGATTTTAACAGTTTGGTTCGTCACGATTTGCTTCATCGTGCTGAAAAAGAAACATTCTATGACATAACCTACAACATCGAAAAATCAAAATAGACGACTTTTCTGACATGTTTTGGCAAAAATTTTACGTGGAAATGGCGAAAAAGGGAATAAAGGATGTATCTGATGTTTTTGTGGTGCAAAAATACCGTCTATTTTAGTGATGATTCAAGATTTTGTTGAATTTATTTCACAAACACTAACCTTTCACGTTGACGTTTAGAAGCGGAAAAGAGATGTTACTAGGTTGGGGGATTTCGCCTTGCCAACCATAGATGATCTGTCACTGTTTTGAAATGTTTTTGTTGCATGAGTTTAAATTTAAAAAACTTGAAGAAAAGAACAATATAAATAAAGATGATATGTTTTATTTCCATTTAAAACCGCGTTCTAGTTACCGCAGGATTTTTATTTATTAGTTTTTTGAAACTGACTACAATGCAGATACACAGTGATTGCTTTTATAATATACATGGTGGCCCAAACATCATTTAAATTGCAATAGCACGATAAAATAAGTTGTGATTGTGGCGAACACAGCTTGAAGTGTGCTTCTGTTTATTTCAAAAAAGTCCGCTGCTGTAATTTTAGCGATAGTTGCTTCGATTTGCTTGATTAATTTATAAATTTCCTTTCGTTCTTGAGAGGCGTCAGGAAATTGTTCTTGCAGTTTGTAGCATAATGGAATTGCTTTTTTGTTCTCTGTGGTGACCGCGCTGCAGCATATGATTACACAAATTGTACTGGAAATAGTAACAAATGCTAAAACAATATCGGCTACAAATAGTTCCTGGCCATTTTCATACAATCCAGGCCAGGGTTTGGTCACAACATAGTTCAAAGATGTTAAAACTTGTGTCACACTCAAACTTGTTACACATAATAGAAGATATCCAAAAATGGCATTAAATGCATTCATCATTTCTGCCAAAATTCGAAATAATTTTCCAATATTTCGCAGGAATTTGATTGTGGATTTGCTTGATCGTTGCAGAGACTTTTTTTCTTGTATGTCTAGAAAGGTGTTTAGAATTTTATATTTTTGTTTGAAAGCTAAAGCGATATCGGTGATCAGCATAAATGAAACGGCGCAGTAAACGTAACAGTAGTCGTGTACAAAATAAGTTCGAAAGCTGTCCCAGCAACCAGTATGTTTACACCAAATATAGTTAATATAAATTATAAGTCCACAAAAAAAAAATACATATGCCACAAAACAAACAAAAACATTTTTGAAAATATTTTTGCTTTTCTTATTTCTGATGTTGAATACTTTATCAATTTTTTGAAAATTATTGTGTAGGTTTACCCAGTTGTCCTGATTGAAAAAGAAAGAGTTAAGTATAGAGATATCAGTAACTGCCACAATTACGGCAGAGTTAAGATAATCTAGCACGAAATGAGATCTATTGTAAGCATCTTTGTAAACGTCTAGTCTTTCAATCGAAGCGTATAAATTTCCGACTGTCATTGCAGTAATAAGAAATAATCCATATATTTTTTTGAGAAAATGATGTTCGATTGTAAATTTTTCAAAATTGTAGCAGGGCGTCATTCCTAAAATATTAGTAATTCGATAAATGGGGGCCATGCAGCGAATGTCTTGTCTAGAAATTGTAAAACAACTCATTGTTAAAATTTGTGCCACAGTTTTATGTGATATCGAGTGACAGTCTATCATTTATAATCGTCTGGATCAATATAATTCAATTAATGGAAACTGTTTATTCAAATAATAGTAAGATACACACAGTATATGTCAACACTTATTAAAAAGTTCCGCTAAACTGTAAAACTACAATAACATAAGTTGTGCACGTCGCCAAAAGCCCAAATAGCGTGCTTCTGTTGATTTCGAAGAAGTCAGCAGCTGTGATTTTGACAACATTAGTTCGAACCTGTTTTGCTAAAATCAAAATTTCGATTCTTTCATTAGAATCAGCAGGGAAGTGTTCTTGCAACTTATAACATAAAAATGGAGTTTTTGAGCTCTCTGTTGTGACGCTGTTGCCACACATCATCACTAATGTGACATTCAGTATGGACATACAGATCATCAGAAAATTTGCTACACCAAGTGATACACTTTTAACTTGTAATTCCTTGTCAACAAATGACATACAAGCTGCCAAAATATGAGTAATAGTTTTCCCAGCAATAAGCACAAAACTCCAGCCAAAAATTTCGTTGAATATTGTGACCATTTCTGAGAGAGTTCTAGAGAGCTCTCCCAATTGTCTGAAGATAGTGATCAATGAAGATCCATTTTTGCGTTTGGTTATTAAACAATCAATATTGAAGCAGTGGTTCAAACCTTGGTATCTGCATCTGAATGCAAAAGCATAGTTCGTTATTAAAAGAACCAAAAGCGCAGTGTAGTTATAGCAAAAATTGTGAATGGAATAGGATCGAAGTATCACCGCGACACTAAAATTATAACACCACGCCCAAATAACGTATGATAGTACAACAATATATGTTAACGCGTAAAGAACGTAGTAAAAAGCGGGGTTTAATAAACAGTTGTCTTCTTGCTTGTGGTTGTTGAGAATGTTATCAATTTGTTGAAAGTTGTTGTTGAGGTGTAACCTTTATCTACACTGAAGAAACAGGCATTTCCTATTGCTATAAGTGGAATAACACAATTGAGAATATCGTTAGCGAAATCTAAATTCAAGTTAAGGTTTTTCAGAAGTTGGTGTCTTTGAATGGCAGAGACCAAATCTCCAATAATAATCAAAATTATTAGTACAATGCCTTTAATTTTTTGTTGTTTCAGATTTTCTAGCGAATATTTCTGGAAATTGTAGTAAGGCGTTAGTCCCAGAAAACTACTCACGTAATAGAGCCGTCTCAAAAAACGTATATCGCGTCTTGAGGAAGTTAAAAATAAATTTTTTTGGTAGAACATTGTAGGTAGACACTAATTTTACAAATGAGAGTATAGTATCAATAGCATTTTCGTAATTAATTCCTAATGGATCAATTGTGTGTAATAAAATACCTACAAATAAGTGGAGTGGCATAATTATTAATAAGTCAGGTAAACAAAAACGCACTCGGTTAATCAAACCCCTACACAAATGTTCCGCTGAGCCGGATGGTTCGAAAAGTGACCTTCTATGGAAATGGAACTGTGACAATATTATTTTTTTTTTTTAATTCAACGTTGCTATGAGGTCGTTATTTACAGACGAAGAAATCTTCGCTTGTATTGACACGTGTTTTCTGCTGCATACCACAAGCTTTCGTTTTGGGGTCTATTTTATCAATTTTGTTATACATGTGTGTATACATCCTGAAAGAATTAAGAACGAGGTTCTACCACCCTTCTTCAAGGCTAGCTTTGATCGTGTTTATTATTGCTCTCTCGTTATTTATAGATAATTATCTAGATCAATATAACACAATTTATGGAGAGGTGTGTCGTAATAAATTGTTAATTAAAAAAAAAGATTCCTTTAAACTGCAAAACTACAATCACGTAAGTTGTGGTCGTTGCCAAAATCCCACAAAGCGTTCTTCTGTTAATTTCAAAAAAATCAGCAGCTGTGATTTTGACGTCATTAGCTTGAACCTGTTTAGCTAGAATCAAAATTTCCAATCTTTCATCAGATTTAGGAGGAAAATGCTCTTGCAGTTTATAACATAAAAATGCAGTTTTTGAGCTTTCTGTCGTAACGCTGGTGCCACACATCACTAAAGTCAAATTCACTATAGATAGACAGGTGATCATGAAACTAGAGAACCTTATCTCTATATTTGTAACTTCCGCGTCCTTTTCAAGAAATCCCATACAAGTTGCTAAAATATGAGCAATCGTTTTCCCAGCCATAAAAACAAAAGTCCATCCAAAAATTTCGTTGAATATCGTGACCATTTCTGAAAGGGTTCTAGATAAGGTTCCCACTTGTCTAAAAAGAGGCACCAGTGAAGATCCATTCTTGTATTTAGTCATTAACAAATCGCTAGTGAGACAGTGGTTCAAGTCTTGGTATCTACATCTGAATGCTAAGGCATAGTTCGTAATTAAAGCAAATAATATTGTGTTGGAGTTGTAACAAAAGTTGTGGACGAAGTAGGTGCGAAGTACCGACTCTACACCAAAGTGGTAACACCATGACCAGAAGACGTATGACATAATAGCAATAAATATCACCACATTGACAACACATTGAAAAAAAGGGTTCTTTAAAAGATTACTTTCTTGTTGTCGACGGTTGTTGAATGTTTTGTCAATTTGTTGAAAACTGTTGTTCAAACGTAGCCATTTGTCTCTATTGGAAAAAGAAGCACTTATTATAGCTATAATTGGAATAATTCAGTTGAAAACATCGTTGAGAAAATCTAAAGATAACTGCAAATTTTTGAGTAGTTGGTATCTTTGGACAAAACAGAATAAACATCCAAAAATAAGCACAATTATTAGTATGACGCCTTTAATTTGTTGTAGTTTTAGATTTTCTAAGGAACGCTTTTCGAAATTGTAGTAAGGTGTTAGCCACAAAAGACTGCTAATGGAATAAAGTGGTTTCAAAAAACGAATATCACGCCTTGAAAAAGTTAAAAATGTATATCTTTGGTAAAACATTGCACAAATGACAATGGCATCAATACCTTTTCAGTAATTATTCGTAATAGATTAATTTTACTCCAATACAATAAGAGTGTAGGGTGGGGTAACACAGTTAGAAATCAACTAAATAAATACCACTCAATTAGTGTAATAGTAGCCGTCAATCAAATAATCCATTGAGCCGGATTTTCCTGAGAAATTTCATGAAAATTCAAAGTTGTATTTGCAACGTTAATTTTAATAGGAGTATATTTTTACAATTATTTTCGTTTTTCTGAATTAATTGTTGCCATGAGTTCGTTATTTACAGACGACGAAATTTTCGCTTGTATGATCGTGTTTTCAGCTGCGTATCATAGGTGTACGTTTTGGGGCCTATTTTATCATTTTTGATATACATAGATATATATTTTATGAATTCTTGCAATTGCTATTACTATTTCAGCAACTGAAATAAAATCCGAAAAACTGTTGTAGATTTTATTGAGTACAGAAAGCGTGCAAGCAAAATACATTATGAAAGAATTAGGATCATTTTTGACAACACAGTAACCATATTGTCAACTTCGCAAAGAAAAGTTAAGTATATGACCTTTGGTTTTGTGGCAAAATTTTAATGTTTGCTATTGTGGAGGAGATTGTTGAAATCTTTATATCGAAATGTGGGAGCTTGAAGACAGTTTAAGATAATGACGATGGTGATAGTTCAGTGATATTGACAAATCTACACGACGAAAGAGCTAGTGATGACGTTCCACCCACTCCATGGCTGTTTCTGATCGTGTTTTATCTCTCTCGTGGTATTTATGGATAATTATCTAGAGTAACATAATACAATTTATAAAATTATTATCTTAATTAGATTAAAAGATTCCATTAAATTGCAAAACTACAATCACGTAAGTTGTAGTCGTTGCCAAAATCCCACACAGTGTGTTTCTGTTAATTTCAAAAAAGTCAGCAGCTGTGATTTTGACATTATTAGCTCGAACCTGTTTAGCTAGAATCAGAATTTCTAATCTTTCATCAGATTTAGGAGGAAAATGCTCTTGCAATTTATAACATAAAAATGCAGTTTTTGAGCTTTCTGTTGTGACGGTGCTACCGTTCATCATCACTAAAATAAAATTGACTATACACAGTGAGGTGATCAGGAAATTAGATAACCGTATCTCTATGTTTGTAACCTCAGCGTCCTTTTCAAGGAATGCCATACAAGACGCTAAAATATGAGCAATCGTTTTCCCAGCCATAAAAACAAAAGTCCATCCAAAAATTTCATTGAATATTGTGACCATTTCTGAAAGGGTTGTAGATAAGGTTCCCACTTGTCTAAAGACAGTCACCAGTGAATATCCGTTTTTGTATTTAGTCATTAAAGAATCCATACTAAGATAGTGATTTAAGTCTTGGTATCTACATCTTAATGCTAAGGCATAATTCATAATTAAAGCAAACACGATTGTGTTGCAGTTATAACAGAAGTTGTGGAAAAAGTAGGTTCGAAATACCACCTCTACACCAAAATAGTAACACCATGACCACATGACGTATGACATTATGGCAATAAATACCAGCACGTTGACAATACATTGAAAAAAGGGATTCTTTAAAAAATTACTTTCTTGTTGTCTACGGTTCTTGAATGTTTTGTCAATTTGTTGAAAACTGTTGTTCAAACGTAGCCATTTGTCTCTGTTGGAAAAAGAAGCATTTATAACAGCTATAACTGGAATAATCCAATTGACAACGTCGTTAAGAAAGTCTAGAGATAAGTGCAAATTTTTGAGTAGTAGGTATCTTTGCACAACACCGAACAAACTTCCAAAAATAAGTACAAATGTTAGTACGACGCCTTTAATTTGTTGTTGTTTTAGATTTTCCAAGGAATGTTTTTCGAAATTGTAGTAAGGTGTAAGCCCCAAAAGACTACTGATGTAATAAAGTGGTTTCAAAAAACGAATATCACGCCTTGAAAACGTTAAAAATATATATCTTTGGTGAAACATTGCACGAATGACAATGGCATCAATACCTTTTTCGTAATTATTCGTAATAGATTAATTTTACTCCAATACAATAAGAGTGTAGGGTGGGGTAACACAGTTATGAAATCACCTAAATAAATACCACTCAATTAGTGTAATAGTAGCCGTCCTTCAAATGATCCATTGAGCCGGATTTTCCTAAGAAACTTCATCAAAATTCAAAGTCGTAGTTGTCAACAGCAAAAAAATCAAAAGTTTCCACTAAATTGCAAAACTACTATCACGTAAGTTGTGCACGTGGCTAAAATCCCACAAAAGGTGCTTCTGTTAATTTCAAAGAAGTCACCAGCTGTGATTTTGACCTCATTAGCTTGAACCTGTCTTGCTAAAATCAAAATTTCTAACCTTTCATCAGATTTAGGGGGAAAATGCTCTTGCAGTTTATAACTTAAAAATGCAGTTTTTGAGCTTTCTGTTGTGACGCTGCTGCCGCTCATCATTAGTATAGTAAAATTCACTATAGTTAGGGAAAAGGCCAGGAAATCAGATAACCACATCTCTATGTTTGCAACTTCAGTTTCCTTTTCGAGAAGTATCATACAAGTTGCTAAAATATGAGTAATAGTTTTTGCAGCAACAAAAACAAAAGTCCATCCAAAAATTTCGTTGAATATTATGACCATTTCAGAAAGGGTTCTAGATAAAGTCCCCACTTGTCTAAGAAGAGGCACCAGTGAAGATCCATTTTTGTATTTAGTCTTTAAAGTATCGATATTGAGATAGCGGTTCAAGTCTTGGTATCTACATCTGAACGCTAGGGCATAATTCGTAATTAAAGTAAACAAAACTGTGTTGCAGTTATAACAAAAGGTGTGGACAAGATAGGTTCGAAATATCACATCTATGCCAAAATGATAACACCATGTCCCCATGACATATAACATTACAATAATAAATGCAAGCACGTTAACAGCACACTGAAAAACCGGGTTCCTTAAAAAATTGCTTTGTTGTTGTCCACGATTGTTGAATATTTTATCAATTTGTTGAAAACTGTTATTCAAACGTAGCCATTTGTCTCTATCGGAAAAGGAGACTTTTATTGCAACTGTAACTGGAATAATGCAGTTGACAATATCGTTGACGAAATCTAGACATAGGTTCAGATTTCTAAACAACTGGTGTTTTTGAGCTGTAGAGAACAAGCTTCCAGTAATAATCAGAATTATTAGCATAGCGCTTTTAATTTTTTCTTGTTTTGGATTTTCTATGGAACGTTTTTCGAAATTATAGTACGGTATTAACCCCCAAAAACTGCTAATGTAGTAAAGTGGTTTCAAAAAACGGATATCACGTCTTGAAAACGTTAAATATGTATACCTTTGGTGAAACATTGTGCTTAACTGCTTACTCTGTTTACAAATGAGAGTGGCATCAATACCGTTCTCGTATTTATTCCTTATAGATTAATTTTATTCTCTAATGCAGTAAGTAATTAAGTATGTAAGGGTGGAGTAGTGCAGATATAAAATCTAAAGTTAAGTAAATAAGTACCATTCAATTAATCTGATAACCACCAATCAAATAAATGGTCCGTAGAGCCGGATCGTCCTAAGAAATTTCAGAAGAGTGTGTTTCTATTGACAATAAAAGTCAGCAGCTACTAATTCCTCAATTTACTAATTAAGAAAAAATCTCAAAAGTTTCCACTAAATTGCAAAACTACAATCACGTAAGTTGTACACGTTGCTAAAATCCCACAAAGCGTGCTTCTGTTTATTTCAAAGAAGTCAGCTGCTGTGATTTTGACATCATTAGCTTGAACCTGTTTTGCTAAAATCAAAATTTCTAACCTTTCGTCCGATTTAGGAGGAAAGTGTTCTTGTAATTTATAACATAAAAATGCAGTTTTTGAGCTCTCTGTTGCAACACTGCTGCCGCACATCATTACTACAGTAAAATTCGCGATAGACAGGGAGATAGCGAGGAAATTAGATAGTCTGATGTCCATATTTGTAACTTCATTGTCCTTTTCGAGGAATCTCATGGAAGTTGCTAAAATATGAGCGATTGTTTTCGCAGCCATATAAACAAAAGTCCATCCAAAAATTTCGTTGAATAGTGTGACCATTTCTGAAAGGGTTCTAGATAGAGTTCCCACTTGCCTAAAAACAGTCACCAATGAAGATCCATTCTTGTATTTAGTCATTAACGAATCGCTAGTGAGACAGTGGTTCAAGTCTTGGTATCTACATCTGAATGCTAAGGCATAGTTCGTAATTAAAGCAAATACTATTGTGTTGGAGTTGTAACAAAAGTTGTGAATAAGATAGGTCCGAAGTACCGCATCTACGCCAAAATGGTAACACCATGACCACAAGACATATGCCAGTATAATAAAAACTGTTAGCACGTTGATAGCACATTGGAAAAAAGGGTTCTTTAAAAAGTTACTTTCTTGTTGTTTACGGTTGTTCAATGTCTTGTCAATTTGTTGAAAACTGTTGTTCAAAAGCAGCCATTTATTTCTATTGAAAAACGAGGCATTTATTATGGCTGTGACTGGAACGATCCAGTTGACAATATCGTTGACGAAATCTAGATATAAGTTCAGATTTCTAAGTACATGCTGTCTTTCAACAAGAGAGTACAAGCTTCCAGTAATAATCAGAATCGATAGTAGAGTGCCTTTAATTTTTTGTTGTATTAGATTTTCCAAAGAATGTTTTTCGAAGTTGTAGTAAGGTGTTAGCCCCAAAAAACTGCCAAAGTAGTAAAGTGGTTTCAAAAAACGAATATCACGCCTTGAAAACGTTAAAAATGTGTATCTTTGGTGAAACATTGTATGTGCATACTCTGCTACAAATGAAAGTGGCATCAATACCGTTTTCGTAATTATTCATAATGGATTAATTTTACTCTTTAATGCAATAAGTATGTAAGGGTGGAGTAGTACAGATATAAAATCTAAAGTCAAGTAAATAAGTACCATTCAATTAATTTAATAACCGCCAATCAAATAGTCCGTAGCGCCGGATCTTCCTATTGACAACAAAAGTCAGCAGCTGTGATTCAAGTACTAATTTCCTAGTTTACTGATTAACAAAAAATCTCAAAAGTTTCCACTAAATTGCAAAACTACAATCACGTAGGTTGTACATGTTGCTAAAATCCCACAAAGCGTGCTTCTATTTATTTCAAAAAAGTCAGCTGCTGTAATTTTGACATCATTAGCTTGAACCTGTTTAGCTAAAATCAAAATTTCTAGTCTTTCGTCAGATTTAGGAGGAAAATGTTCTTGCAATTTATAACATAAAAATGCAGTTTTTGAGCTCTCTGTTGCAACACTGCTGCCGCACATCATTACTATAGTAAAATTCGCGATAGACAGGGAGATAGCGAGGAAATTAGATAGTCTGATCTCCATGTTTGTAACTTCATAGTTTTTTTCGAGGAATGCCATGCAAGATGCTAAAATATGAGCGATTGTTTTCCCAGCCATAAAAACAAAAGTCCATCCAAAAATTTCATTGAATATTGTGACCATTTCTGAAAGGGTTCTAGATAAGGTTCCTACTTGTCTAAAAAGAGGCATCAGTGAAGATCCATTCTTGTATTTAGTCATTAACGAATCGATATTGAGACAGTGGTTCAAGTCTTGGTATCTACATCTGAATGCTAGGGCATAGTTCATAATTAAAGCAAATAATATTGTGTTGCAGTTGAAACAAAAGTTGTGAATAAAATAGGTTCGAAGTACCGCCTCTACACCAAAATGATAACACCATGACCGCAAGATATATGTCAGTATAATAAAAACTGCTAGCACGTTGATAGCACATTGGAAAAAAGGGTTCTTTAAAAAGTTACTTTCTTGTTGTCTACGGTTGTTCAACGTTTTGTCGATTTGTTGAAAACTGTTGTTCAAACGCCGCCATTTGTCTCCACTGAAAAACGAGGCATTTATTATGGCTGTGACTGGAACAATCCAGTTGACAATATCGTTGACGAAATCTAGATATAAGTTCAGATTTCTAAGTACTTGCTGTCTTTCAACAACAGAATATAAGCTTCCAGAAATAATCAGAATTGTTAGTAGAGTGCCTTTAATTTTTTGTTGTATAAGGTTTTCCAAAGAATGTTTTTCGAAGTTGTAGTACGGTGTTAGCCCCAAAAAACTGCCAATGTAGTAAAGTGGTTTCAAAAAACGGATATCGCGTCTCGAAAACGTTAAAAATATACATTTTTGGTGAAACATTGTATGCACTCTGTTTATGTATAAATGAAATTGGCCTCAATTCCTTTTTCGTAATTATCCCTAATGGATTAATTTTACCCTAATGCAATATGCAGGTATGGGTGGGGTAGAGATCTATAAAATCAAGTAAATATAGACCGCTTAATTAACTTAATAGCCGCTAATCAAATGGTCTGTAGAGCCGGATCTTCCTACATTTTTTTTTTTGTATATTAATTCTCGTTTCTGAACGAATTATTTGGGTATGGGAAAAAAGTAAAAACCGTATGGTTTATTAAATTTTATTAGAACCATATAATATATTTTTGTGTTTAGAAATGTGCTTATGTTTTTTAAAAACATACCATTTTATATTACAGTAACTAACGCAAAGTAACTATTTACATATAATACAAGTAAAAAATCACGAAAATAACCGTTTATGAAAGCTAACTAGAATAATAATAATCATAACAATGATAAACCCAACTAATATAGTTGAGTCACTTTCATTCCAGACACAAAATTGAGCTTGCCCGCGAAAAAAACAAGTCAGTTTCCAACGAACAAGTGTTAATATAAATATTACGATAACTAATTGAAAAAAGGGCATGGTAACAAAGTTAAAAAAAGATTGTACTAAAAGTATTATGTATGTATAAACAAGATACATAAACAGGCATACAATAGAAACAATGAACACGCAGTTTAGAACTGCAAAACGTATAACATGAAGAGCAAAAGCTCAGTAAAGCATTACAAATACATTTGAGTATTAAAAAATTTCAAGATTTCTCTCTTCTCAGATCTAAAGGCACATAATCACATCCTCGTTATAAATATTCAATCAGAAAATATATTTTACTTATTCTCCGCATGACACATTCTCGCCATTTTTACACATGTACAATTTTAAAACAAATTTACAATTCACTACAAACGATTCAATAAATATGTTAAACCTCGACTCCCAATACCCTATCCACGACGTACTCGTACCGACCCGACTGTCCACTACTTTCCGCCTCATTGTTTTTCACTTCACTAGGTTCACTGTTTTCAGGTTCGTCTTTTGATTTTGTCGTGTCCGAATGGCACTCGTCTGACGGCAAGAAAGGCACGTTGCTGTTGACTCGTGTGAAGAAGGCCATCTTCTCTCTAAACACAAAAACAAAACAAATTACTTCCAAACCCACTTAAGTAAGATTCGTTAAACTTACTTGAAGGAGATAATATCCGGCTTGCCATTGCCCGCCTTCGTTTTCCTCAGTTTGTAAATCTCCTTGGACACCTTCTTCAGCATCTTCTCCACCTTTTTCTCCTCTGGAGACTTGGAGCTCCTGAAGCTCTCCGCGTGAGCGATCAAGTTCTGGATCCTCTCGTCCTCCAACAAGTACGTCGCCATCTCCGTATCCCCCTTCTCTTTCGCCTCCTCCAACTTCGCCTTCAACTCCCTCAACCTCAGCAACTCGGAATGCAGCAAATCCAGCCTCGTGTGTTGCGCCTGCAGGTCCAACTCCAGGTCCAGCGACGTCCTCGCTGTCGTCGTCATGTGCGTCTGCGGCCGCGCCGCCACCGACTGCCTCCTGAACCTCAAACTCCTCCTCTCTATCGCGTTCCTCTCGAACGGCTTTCCGCCTCTCCTGTACAGCGGCATCGCGCTGTCGCTGTCGCTCCTATTCAGCTTACAGATATACTGGTTCTTGGAGACGTGCGCACTCGGCGTGAACGTCTGCGACCGCTTGATCACCCCTCGGTCATCCAGCGCCGCCCCCGCCGCCGCCATCTTCATCTGCTTGGCGTGCTCGGGGAAGAACGCGCACTCAGTGTTGGTCTGCTTGTCGGAGAAGGCCTCCAACTCCTCGTCCAGCACTTCAAGGACTTCCACGTCTTCTTCGTCCTCTTCTTCAATTTCTTCCTCGGATTCCTCGTCGCTTTCGCGGTCCATGCAGCTGTACAAGTCTTCGAGGGTGAAATTGACGGTGTTGAGGAAGTTCATGGGGTCTTGGTTGCGGGTGAGGGTGGAGGTCTGGGAGGAGATGATGGTAGAGTCGTCGGAACTCTCTTCTTTGAGGACGGGTTGCTTGGAGCTGGGGTCGATGGACTCGTGGCGGGAAACGTCGGACTCCTGGCGGTTGTGGGCGGGTTTGGACTCCTCGCGGGTGTCCATGAGCTGGAGGCTGAGGATGTTGTACCACTTCTGGGACACCTGCTGGATGTTGAAGTCGGCCAGGCTCACTTGGGTACAACCCTGGAAGAAAAAAGGTGTTTCATGTCTGGACGTTCCATAATCCGTAAAAGTATCAACAATAGGTCCTCCGTTACTTTGTATCTATTTGTCGTGTGTTGGTTTAAAACACGCTTGAAGGAACGAGTAGGTAGACGATGGTAATCAAGATAGCATTTTGGACATTACTTTTTAATTATCAGATTAATCAAGCGTCCTACGAGAACAGTGACCTGTGTTTGTCTGATAGAAGTCTACTAATCGATTCCAATTCTTTTGCATGACAAACGTTTGGTGAAGTCGTTTTAAAAAAAAATTAAATTCGGTAGCACTCAAATAAATTATCTAATATTTTTGACACAAAAAACTTGTTTTTTAATAGCAAAGGTATTTAAATTGGCTCATTACGCCGTCCGTATTGTTGGCGATAAGCCTTTTTAAATGTTTCTGCAATAAACAGTACTTACTACAAAGTACTGATATAGTCGTAGTCGCATTCCATTCATATCTCTGCGTTTTTTAAACTTTTGCAAAGTATTGTTTTGACGTCTCCAAATGTTTGTTTAAAGCAAGTATTTATTCTAGATAACTTTTAATTGTAAAGAGGAAACTCGTACCAAACGCGTGACATTTCTGTCACTTTCAATAGTTTTCGCTGTTCTACATACTACGTGTATGTAGTACAATTTCGAAATACGTGTAGTAAAAAAATTGAGGAAAATAACAATAGAGATAAAACAAATATACATATTTTATGGTGATACACACGACATGGTTTTGACAGGACGTTAAATCCAAAAAAACAAGTGTTTTCACTTACCACACACTTCTCCTGTTCTTCAGTCTTACTCCACACATTCAACTGGAGCGTCTTCGTATAAATCTTATTAACAGGTACACTAATAGTGAAGATATCACCAAAACTCGGCTTCTTCAAGTCTCTAACGGGCTTCGTGCAGTACACTGGGGGCGGCGTCGCCGGCAGCAGCGCGATCTTAATATACCTATAAACAAACCTGTCATAACCTCGCCACTCCTTTTCCACCCTCAACTTACACTTGGGCGTTCTCCCCGATGTACAGGGCGCACAAATTCCGCGCTCTCTCCACACACACACTCAGAATGTTCTCTCCCGTGACGTATCTCAGTTTAATTTGGACCTGCGCCGTGTCGACGTCTTGCTCTTGCAGCAGCCGCTTCCTGTTCGACGCCTCGAACACCCCCGAGTCGCCCGCCACCGACTCGTCGCTCACGGCCGCCGACACCGAGCGCGTGTTCGTCCCCGAGGACGACGTCCGCGACAGCGCCGTCCCGTCGTGGTCCAGGATAGGGGGCGGCGTCTCCGAAATGGGCGACAGCGGCGGGTCGCCCGAGCTCTCGTACGAGTATCGACTGACTTTCGGCTGGCCCTGCGGCTCCTGGTGACCCAACTCCTCGATCAGTCTTTGTACTTGGCGGTCGCGCTCCACTTGCTCGTACGTGGGGGGAGGGACTGCGCAGGGGAGGTTTTCGTACATGGGGGACACGGGCGGGGACACGGAAGACAGCGAGCTGCGGGGGGACAGGGACGGCTGCGATCGGCACGGCGAGGGGGTGGAGTATTTGGCTTTGAGGACGCGCTCGACGCGCCGATGCAGGTCGAGCATGTCGATGGGTTTGTCCACGTTGGGGGCGGCGGTGGTGCACTGCGGCCCGCCGTAGATGTCCGTGAAGCTCAAGCCCGAGCTCAGCGAGCCCTTGCTACTGGTGGTGGATAAGGAACCGAGACTAGAACTGCTACTGACTGAGAGGGTGCTGGCGGAGAGGGTCTTCAAGTGCGACTCCAAGTGCGTCATTTGTCTTAAAGCGTCTCTTAGCTGCTGGAGGAGGAGCTGCTTCTCTTCGTGTAGTCGCAGCCGGTCGGCGATGGCGCGGTTCGACATCTCCAGGGCTTTGTTCAGGTCTTGCTCCAGCCGCTTGCACTCCAACTGAATCCCGCTCATCTCTTCTTTGGATCGCATCCTAGGAGTAATACTCCGGAGTTCCCTCAAGAGTTGTTCCTTTTCTTGGAACAGCAGCAGCCTGTCTTTATCCGACTCGACTTGCCCCGGCTGGACCTTCTCCTCCAAGTCGGCCAGTTTCTGCTGGATGTGCTGCACTTGCTTCCTCGCTTCGTCGTACTCCAGCCTCATCTTCGCCATCTCCGCTAACCTCGTTCCAATCGGCACCAGCTCGCAACTCAGGTCGGTTTGCGACGCAGTGCTCAATTTTTCTTGTGGAAGACTCAAAGTGGACACGTCTGGAGATCCCTCCGAGAGCTGTAACCTCGTCAGGTCATCCTTCAGCTTCGCCAAAGACTGCATCAGCTCGGCTTTTTCTTTCTCGCCACTCGACAGAGATTTCTGGATATTGACTAATTCGGCCATGATGGCTTGAGCTTCGACTATGTTGTAGCCTTGATGGGAGTTGAGTTTCTGTTCAACACTGAGAAAAATGGTTATTATCGTGAACGGGATCACGTGGAAAGACTTACTTTGTCAGAGTGTCAACTCCTTTCTGTGTGTACCTCATCTCGTTCCGGATCTGTTCCAATTCGGATTTTAACCTGGAGACTCTATTTTTGGCCAAGGCGACGTCGGATTTGAGCAGGTCGGGGTCGTATTTGGTGCTGACGCCGCTGGCGGAGGAGTAGAGGCTCGTTCGGGAGGTGGCTAGGTTGGCCAGGGCGTTGTTGAGGTGGTTGTATTCGTCCTGGGCCAACATTAGCCTCTGGGATTTGACGTGGTAAATGTCTTTTTTGGCCTGCAATGACGACAAGATATGAATACTAGATACAATGACTGTTTCAGTTGGTAGCAACAAAGTTTGCTTGAAATTGGTAGAACTGTCACCGCCACTTTACTTCTTGCTGTCAAAAGTGACATAATTGTCGCTTCATTTAAATTAAAATTTGATTATTATTAAAATTAAATTCCAAATTAGTCAATCTTAGGTAAATAAAAAAAAATTTCAAAAGTGGATCTGTCCGTTCCAAGCGTCAAACAAAATTCCCAATGAATAGCAGAAAAAAAAGAATTGCTACCATGTATTGTGCTGTCTAGAAATATTATAAATGCCAAAACATAGCGCTGTAAATGTGTGAAAAAGCGTTTAGTCCCTGTTTTGAACAAGCTACATTCTGATGGTAATTATATCTTCTGACCTGACATGGCCACCTCACATTATGCTACAGTGACAAAGAAAAGTTTGAAGAGGTATCAAATTCCCTACATTACTTGACTTGCAAAGAAAATACCAAATGTTTAAAAAAATATATAAACCATGGAACTTATGCGGCGCAGTATGCTCGTCATTTTCGGGTACAAAATTTTAATCGGCGCAGTTAAGATATACCGTTCGTATGAGAATGAAACCTGTGGTCACTGTACCATCCACGAAATCAACGTCATCTCTATAACCAAAACTCCCTTGAAAGGGCCCCAGAAACCACAAGTAAAAAAATCTCCGCAAACCCGACCACAAAGGCTAGATTCCTGCGTCCATCAAGCCCATCTCGCACTTCCCACCGAAAACATCCCATTCAATTAACCCACCGCCCATATCACCATTGCCGCCGCCGCCCCCCGCGCCGCACATTCCTCCGCCGGCCGTAACCCCCACCAGGGGGCTCGCCATTAATTAACCGGCGGGCTCATTACGGCCCGCACCACGTCCCACACGGTCACAGCACGCGCTCGAAATTCCGCACAAAGAACATCTCAACTCACGAATAGGCCGTAGACGGCGCCGCCGCCACCGTGCTGGTAGGACGCCGGCAGGGTCCTGAAGCAGACCTGGGGCCGCTGGGGGCAGTGGAGGTGGACCGGCAGCGTGTGCACTTGGAGTGCGGGCACGTAGCACAAGGGCCACATCTCGACTGCGCTTCTTGCGTCGGGTTGTCGGTGGTCGGCCTTGGCTCTGTCCTTCGCACCCTGCCGACTGCTGGCCCGGGCCACACTTTAATTTCCGTGTGTGTGTGCCGTGCATTCCAGAGGTCACGCGGACGGCCCGGGGGCAGGGGGTCGACCGCATTGTTTCGCGTGCGAGCGGACGGAGGAGGGGCGTCCGGACGCCCACGACGCACAAGAGAAAGAGATTCCTGGAAGACGGCGAGCCGAGATTTCGCCAAATCACGCGGTCTGAAATCCCCAGTGGGATCAATTAAATTACTCCGAGATTTGTCAAGGGTCTTTCTTTGCCGCCAAGCCCCAAAATATATTGATAAAATAATATACTCCTATACTTGTGGTCTATGAATCCGTTTTGACTTTGTAAACTTTTACTGGGCTGCCAATTTTTGCTTCTGAATTTCTAAATTTTGGGCGTCGTGCCCCTGCAGTTGCAAAAATTGTGAAAATCGTTAAAAATAATCATCCATCTGTCTGGACCAAAAATAAAAATCTCCCTTTATCTCCAGATTAGTGAATTCGTGGATTTGGTTGACCCACCGCCAGCCCTCGCAAAGTCCGTCCGCCGCCGCCCCGCGGCCCAGCGCGGCCCACGTGCGCCGCCGCCCCCACCCCCCGCCCCGTTACGTAACCCCATCTCCATTGTCCCATCCGGCGATAAAACACAAAAACAACCTGTTGATCCGTGTGCGGAGCATCAGGCCGAAAGAATGCGCCTTCGTGCGTGTTCGGCCGCCTTCGGTGGAATGCAGTGGCCTGCTGGGATCGTGCGGCGTAACACAGGTAGCCGCTGCAGCGCGCGCCCGCCCCCCGCCCCGCCGGGCCACAAAAGAATCAATGTCGCCCGCCGCCCCTGCCACCTGTTCGCGGGAGGGGGCTTTTTGTCCCTTTTTTTGCGGCGATTCGGCGTTTTCGCCGGAATCCGGCAGGCTCGGCATTCCTGGGCGCACGAGCCGCCCCCGCCACCGCCGGGCGGCGCGGGTCGCTTTGACGGTTTAGAGAGGTTATGAAAACATGGAAGGAATTTATTACGGGAGATTAGATGAACTTTTTTGACCTGGCAGTGGTCAGAAGTGCGTTTGGAAGAATGCCGAATGACGGCGCGATTGGTAAACAAACAGTGGCGGTGGAGCTGGAGTGATGCAGGGCGGGAAGAGTGATCGGCTTGAATTGCGGGTGACTCACGATGAGCAGATTCCGAGATAATTAATTGCTGAGGTCATAAATAAATCATGCGATTCGTTAGGAAAACGGAGGAAAGTGCGACCTTTGGACGGAGCTGAACTGATAATGGCGGTTTTATTGTTATTATTATTGTGTGGTTTGTTTGTACTTGATGATAAATTGTAGTAGAAAAGCCAAATATTTTCGGTTTTATTTATATCGGTCGTAACAACACAAGGCAATTTGGCTGTCTTTCTCTTTGTTCCTAGTTCCTTGTCTTTTTTTGTGTGCTCTTTCCAGTTTCCGCGTTCGGCGAATCGGTAAAAGCTTTCTCCCATTGCGTCGTGCCGTTGTACCCCAAAATCCGATGTCGTTTGAGTTTTGGAAATGTATACTAAAATTTATTTGGTGTTTTGCCGTCTACATGAAATTTCTAAAATAGAATTTGACATCGGTCTAATAATTCCTCTCTCATAAAATCGCCAACAGATGACAGATAGAAGAAAAAGAGGGACCTACTTTTTTCATACTTTCAGGGTTACGAAAAGATTGTAAAGTTTGTCTAGAATTATAAGAATTTTATGGACTACCAAAGTTAATTCGTTTTACAGCTCTGTTGTCAATTTTATTGTACAGCTGAAGAGCGGGGCGAACACAGGTACAGAAAACATCGGCTTTCCCCTGACAGGCTCTTTACCTGTACAACAGAATTGACGCCTGGGCGCGGGCTGTAAAACGAATTAACCTTGGGAGTCCATAAAATTCTTATAATTCTGGACAAACTTTACACTGTCTCACAAAGAAATAAAACAAGGAAAATCCTATACCATTTTTTAAGCCCATTTTACTTAAAATAAAATATTCCTGCTTTGTGTCTTGAGTTTTCACCCTACATAACCAGATTTTTTACTTTGAAAATCAAAATTTATTCGTTTATCCCCTCCCAAAAAATTGATAACATCATCTCAAAATTTTGTAATGAAAAACTCACTTGAAACAAACGTCTAGCATGCTTCTTTACACATTCACTTCGGTTTTCACTTTACATACATGTTTTTAGTTTAACTTACAAAGGTTATCAATGTTATCATAAAAAAATAAAATTTGTAAAACAAATCTGATATTTTTTCGAAAAATCAACTAATTTTTGGATACACAATGTTTTGATACACAATGTTTCGGTTTCATAATTTTTCGTTTTTTCAATTTTTCGTACAATTTTTCATTTTTAGATTTTTCAGTAACTCGATCTTTAATTTTTCGATTTTTTCATTCTTCGTGTCCTCAATTTTTCAAGTTCTTGACTTTTATTTGTCAATCTTCCGATTTTATAATTTTCCCGCTTTTATATCACTTTTCGTTGTTTCATTTCGTTTATTTTTCAATGTTTCTTTCGGTTTTATACATTTTCCTTTATTCAATTTTTCAAATTTTCAATCTTTTATTTTTCGATTCCTTGGTTTTAAAATTTTTAATTTTTCAATTGTGCAATTTTTGGAATTCTCAATTTTCCCATTTCTTTAATTTTCAATATATTTCGTTTTTACGGGATTTGATTTTTTTTCGATTTTGCAGTTTCCAGAATTCGCAAAATCAAATCTTATAATTTTTCGAAAAATCTGGAAGTCTTTTCACAAGTTTTTTGAAATCACAATGTTTCGGTTTCATATTTTTCGTTTCTTCAATTGTTCAAGTTCTTGTTTTCCAATTCTTAGATTTTTTAATGTTCATTTTATACTTCTTCCTTTTTTCATTTTTCGATTCATTTGTTCAAGATCTGGAATTTTATTTTTTATTTTCCCGATTTTTTAATTTTCATTTTCATTTTATAATTTTTCGTTGATTCAATTTCTCCACTTTTCAATTTTTTATTTTTCAATTACTCGGTTTTCCAATTTTTAAATTTTTCAATTTTGCAATTATTGTAATTCTCGATTTTCCGTTTTCTTTCATTTTTAATGTTTCGATTTTTCAATTTTTCATTCCTTCAGAATTTCGAGTTCTTGATTTCCCATTTTCAAATTATCTTTGTTTTTTCCTTTTTAATTTTTTAATTTTATATTTTTCCACTATTTTGAATGGAAAAACTGAAAAACTAAAAATTTCAAAATCGAAAAAGTGGAAAATCGAAAAATTGCAATTCGAAACACTGAAGAAAGAAGAAATGAAAGATTGAAACATTGCAAAACTAAACATCGAAAAAAATTAATGAAGCGAAAAACTGGATAAAAGAAAAACCTCAAAAATTGAACATTGGAAGAAAAATGGAAAAGTTTCAAAATACAATTTTATTGAAGAATGGAAAAATTGAAGTAAAAAAGTTTAAAAGCTGAAAATTGAATAATGTAAAAATTGAAAATCGAAAAATTGCAACATCCAAAAAAATTGAAAAAAGTGGAATTGAAAAAGCAAAAAATTATACAATTCAAGAATTGTAAAAAATAAAGAAAATAAAAACGAAACGAAAAATTGAAGGATCGAAAAATTCAAAATCCAAAAACTAAAAATCAGAAAATTCCAAAATCGAAACACTGAAGAAACGAAAGATTGAAACACTGAAATCTAAAAATCGAAAAAACTAATGAATCAAAAAAATGAAAAAATAAAATCGAAAAATTGCAAATTGAAGCACTGAAGAAACGAAGAAATAAAAGATTGAAACATTGAAAAGCTAAAAATCGAAAAAAATCAAGCCAAACACTGAAAAAAAAACAATCGAATGGAAAGTTTTGAAAACCCAAAAATTTTAAATTCGAAAAATTATCGAACCGCCAAACTGGAAAGTGAAAAACTTAACACTGGAAGAAAAATTAAAAATTGGTTTAAAGAGTTTAGACAGTACTTCCCTCGCTGTCGGAAACGTGACGACTGCATGCCTATTATGTTTTTTTTTCGCAGTGGATTTCAAAGAATTCGGTTTTGTAGTTCCTGATTAAATCAATAAAATATATTTACGCATTCATTAATTTTTTTGAGTCACTCTGTATATGCAAATCCAAAAAATATAAATGGAGTGATAAATGACAAGTACAGACTCATCATATTTTGTACATTTTAGATATGATTTATTCGGCAAACTTTCGAGCTGACGTCATCAAGTTTTTGGAGGGGATAAGCAAATATATTTTGACTAGACATTTATTATGCTCTTTATGACCTTAAAACATCTGCAAGATTTCAGAGCATTCGGTTTTGTAGTTCCTGATTAAATCAATAAAATATATTTACGCATTCATTAATTTTTTTGAGTCACCCTGTATATGCAAATCCAAAAAATATGAATGGAGTGATAAATTACAAGTACAGACTCATCATATTTTTACAGTTTAGATAGGATTTATTCGGCAAACTTTCGAGCTGACGTCATCAATTTTTTGGAGGGGATAAGCAAATATATTTTGACTAAACATTTATTATGCTCTTTAGAACCTTAAAACATCTGCAAGATTTCAAAGCATTCGGTTTTGTAGTTTCTGAGTAAATCAGTAAAATAAATTTACGCATTCATTAATTTTTTTGAGTCACCCTGTATATGCAAATCCAAAAAATATGAATGGAGTGATAGATCACAAGTACAGACTCATCATATTTTGTACATTTTAGATATGATTTATTCCACAAACTTTTGAGCTGACGTCATCAAGTTTTTGGAGGGGGTAAGCAAATATTTTTTGACTAAAGATTTATGATGCTCTTTATAGCCTTAAAACATCTGCAACATTTCAAAGCATTCTGGTTAGCAGATTAAAAATTAAATTTCAAAATGTTGTTTTATAATTTTGATTTTTTTTCCAAAAATCTGGACGTTTCGGGTGAAAAGTCGATTCGGAGTTGTAAACTACATGTGTAGGACTATGTTATTTTATACAATTGAAAACCCATTTACTATGTACAATTTTGAAGTGACGTCATCGCATTAGTGGTGGGGATGATTAGACAAATTTTGGTTAGCGTTTTACCATCTACATGATATTCTTAATATAAGTACAAAATTTCACAACAATCGGTCGAGTACTTTCGGAGATTATCTGTCTAATAAAAATCCGGGACAACAGACGGACAGACGGACGGACAGACGGACGGACAGACGGACAGACGGACGGACAGACGGACAGACGGACAGACAGACGGAAATGGGAGACCTATTTCTTCGTCTTCTAGGGGTCATGAAAGATCGAGAAAATGTAAAAGTAGAGAGTCGGCCGACGGACTCGATTACAATACTTCCTTTGCTTACGCTCGGGAAGTAAAAAGTACAATTGAAAAAGCTGAAAGTTTCAAAATGGAAAAATTGAACACCGAAAAATTGGAGCAAACAAATACATAAATGAAAAACTCAAAAATTGCAAACCGAAAAATTGAAAAAAGTGGAATTGCAAACCAAAAAATTTTAAGATCCAAACATTGAAAAATCGAAGGATTGAAAAATTAAAAAATCAAAAACTAAACATCGGAAAAATAAAAAAATCGAAAAAATGAAAAACTGCAAAATCTAAAAATTGAAAATCGAAACATTAAAGAAATGAAAGATTGGAACATTGAAAAAAGAAAATGATTGTTTATTATTACATATTTAAAATGAAAATTAAAAAAATTGCACATCAAAAATTGAAGAAACGGAAAATTGAAAATTCGAGAAACTGAAAAATGTAAAATTGAAAAAGCTGAAAGTTGAACAGTGGAAAAATTGAAAACTGAAAAACTGCAACATCCAAAAAAATGAAAAACTGAAAAATTGCAAATCGAAAATTAAAGAAACGAAAGATTGAAAAAAGTAGAATTGAAAAAGCAAAAAATTATAAAATCCGAACATAGAGAAATCGAAAAATTGAAAAATAAAGAAGATAAAACAAAACGAAAAATTAAAAATCCACAAAGGAAAAGTCGGAAATAATTGAAAACTTGAAAAACTGCAAAATCGAAAATTTGAAAATCGAAACACTAAAAAACTAAAAGTCGAAAAATTCTAAAATCGTGAAATTGAAAATGTGAAAACTTTAAAAATTATAATTATTATTATTACATGTTTAAAATGAAAACTAGAAAAACTGCAAATCAAAAATCGAAGAAACGAAAAATTTAAAAATGGAGAAACTGAAAAATCGAAAATTTGAAAACCGAAAAATTGAAACATCAAAAAAATGAAAAACTGAAAAGTGCAAATCGAAAAATTGAAGAAACGAAAAATTGTAAAAATAAAGAAAACAAATAAATAAAACGACGAAAGTAAACATTGTAAATCGAAAATTTGAAGAAATGAAAAACCAAAGGATCGAAAAATCGAAAAATGAAAAATGGAAGACTCGAGAAATGTTAAATCGAAAAATTGCAGAAGCTAAAAATTGAAGAAATAAAAAAAATGAAAAATTGAAAATTGAAAACTACTAACTCAAATCGAAAAATTGAGAAATTCAAAAGTTGGAAAATTGAAAATTCGAAAAATTGCAAATCAAAAAACTGACGAAACAAAAAAGCTGCGGGGTGGTTATCCGAAAACAAAAAACTCAAACAAATTTTATAATTTTTCAAAGGGAGATTAGTTAGGCTACACTTCAGGGCCGAGCGAAGTTCCTCTTTATTAACGAAAACAATAATAATGAAATATTGAAACATATCCGAGGGTAGCATAATCAGACGAACTCCAGTTCAAGCGCATTCCCCACGTGTCGAAACCGTCGACTTTCTCGCCACAATCTCGGCAATAAATTCCATCAACAGAATGACTAATTGTGTCACAGCGATTACCATTCCCAAACCTAATAACCGCATCTGCAGTCCTCCGTTCAAGTGCACCGAGCCCATCAAAAACCGCATAAAATCGGAAAAAGCCTCGTAGTAAACCGAATCAACGATCTTCGCCCGCTGCATCACCTTCATTAGCTCTTAAGTAACACTCGTCCGTGGGCCGCTTTACGACTTAATGAGGCCCGATCCGTCGGCGGCGGCTATAAATACGGTGCATCCATCGCGCCGCCCCCGAGCCGCATTTTTGCGGTTTTTCCCAAGCAATTAGGCCGGAGTCAGCCGCGCGGAACGGCAGCCAGCATTTGAAAAATCCTAATCTTTTTTTACAGTTAGCTAATAAAGAGCCGAGTCAGCGGCACTCACGCACCTTCGGCTGTCGATCGGCGCGGTTTAAAAATAAGTCGAAACGTGCACATTTTTCGGGCGCTTTTCGCTTAGGCCCCTAAAACGGACCTCTTGGAGAAACGAGATCCGCACTTTGTTCCACGGTCACATTCCACGGCATGTGTGAGAGTGCGATGCACGCTCCACTGCACCTCCAGAATGCATCAGATAAGTCCACGCATTGTTGGGGATTGCGGCTTCGAGTGCCCGAAAAACGCGCCCGAACACTCGGGATCGGGTACCCACCTCAAGGACGTCTTGCGCCGTCTGCAGGTACTCCCTCAGCATCGCCTCCTGGATGGCCCTCCATTCCTGGCGCGGGTCCTCCAGCTGGGTCGACTCTGTAAAAACGATTTTTTACTCGGGTGGGTTTCGGTTTATGGCGCGGAACAAAAGAAACATGCCATGTAACACATTAGTCGCCTTTACGACTCGAACAAAACCCCATAAAGAATCATTGGTGTTGGTTCTTGAAACAGCGCAGAGGCACAGAATGATGCGAAATAGATAATTGAGATCAGTACAGCCGACGTACAGCTCCTGTTATTTACAACTGTGGGTTGTACCAGTACCATGTAAGTTTTTTATAAGAGTACTTACGAGTTTGGTGATTGATGTAGTAGGGTCCGATTTGGCCGTCGTAGGCTTCCTCCCATCCTAAAGGTAATTCGTTTCCTATGCAATCAGCGAATGTTTGCGGTTTCGTGAACCTGGAAAAAAACAAATGTGGTAAAATCACGAAGAAGGTCTAATTTTAAATACGTAACTACATACTATTAAAAAATTAATGACAATTGAAACGGTGGATAATTCTGTATGCTTGGACGCTGTAAAGTGCGTTTCATGAAAACAAGTATACATTTGACGCAATAATGCTCGAATGATGAAAAAGTCATTTCTATTTGTGAATAATAGTAACACTATAGGAGACAACTTATTCAACGAGTGCGTAATAATGACCATTACTCACGAAATCAAGTTTACAACATGGGCGTCGCCAAGTGCAGCGAATCGCACTTTTTCTACATATAATCCGCACAGAAATGGCATTTTTTACATTCTATTTCATAAAAAGTGTACCGAAATTATATCATTGGTGTTACTGGTTACAGTTCGTGAATAATAAATTTACCTCACGGCCGTGAATAATGAATAGCATTACTCAACAAGAAACGTTTATAAAAAAATAATAATAAAATAAAAAGTAAGAAATACGAAGTTGTTAAAGAACACCGTTGTGGCATCTTATTACCATCAACATTTTATGTGAATTTGACTGGATGCAATGTAATACGAACAATAAACAGTACCGTATACACAGTGTGAGTAATATTAAAAACGATCAATTCATTGATAAACCACAAGTAAAGATTTATTCAGCAAAATTTTGAGATGACGACATCAGTTTTTTTGGTGGGGGCAAACGGATAAATTTTGCTTCACCATGCTTACGATAACGGTAACAGTTTGCAAGTTTTCAGAGCATTCGGTTTGGAAATTTCAAAGTTAAATTGTAAAATGTAATTCAATTTTGATTTTTTTTCCAAAAATCTGGATCTCAAAGGCAAAAACTCAACACGGATTCATAAATTACACATGTAGGAGTATGTTACTGTATAAAATTTATTCGGTAAATGATTTACTATCCCCAAGATCACCTTTAAAAGTTTGCAAGATTTCATAGCATTTGGTTTTGGAATTTCAAACCTAAAATATAAAATGTTGTTCCTCAATTTTGATTTTTTTCCAAAAATCTAGATGTCTAGGGTAAAAACTCTAACACGGATTCATAAACCACAAGTGTAGGGGTACCTTATTTTATAAAATTTAACTAATATTTAATATCGTAAATTTTGAAGATGACGTCATCCCTTTGTTGGTGGGGATGATTGGGCCATTTTTGGTACGCGTTTTATCATCTACATGATATTCCTAACATACGTATAAAATTTGACAACAATCGATTCCAGAGTGTTGCAGATTTTTAAAATTGTATCAAATAACATAGTCTTACACATGTAGTTTACGACTCCGAATTGAGTTTTTACCCGAAACGTCCAGATTTTTGGAAAAAAAATCAAAATTATAAAACAACATTTTGCAAATTAATTTTGAATCTGCTAATCCGAATGTTTTGAAATGTTGCAGATGTTTTAAGGCTATAAAGATCATCATAAATCTTTACTCAAAATATATTTGGTTATCCCCTCCAAAAACTTGATGACGTCACCACAAAATTTTGTTGAATAAATTCTCTAAAATGTACAAAATATGGTGAGTCTCTTCTTGTCATTTATCATTCCATTCAAATTTTTTCGATTTCCATATACAGGGTGACTAAAAAAAATAATAATTGTGTGAATTTATTTTATTGAGTTAATCAGGAACTACAAAACCGAATGCTTTGGAATCTTGCAGATGTTTTAAGGTTATAAAAAGCATAATAAATGTTTAGTCAAAATATATTTGCTTATCCCCTCCAAAAAATTGATGACGTCAGCTCGAAAGTTTGCCGAATAAATCCTATCTAAACTGTACAAAATATGATGAGTCTGTGCTTGTAATTTATCACTCCATTCCTATTCTTTGGATTTGCATATACCGGGTGACTCAAAAAAATTAATGAATGCGTAAATTTATTTTATTGATTTACTCAGGAACTACAGACCCGAATGCTTTGAAATCTTGAAGATGTTTTAAAGTTATGGTAAGTTTTTGATCAAAATGTATTTGCTCATCCCCCCTACAGAAATTTATGACGTCACTACAAAATTTTGCTGAATAAATCCTATCTAAAATGTACAAAATATGATGAGTCTTTTCTTGTGATTTATCATTCCATTCATATTTTTTGAATTTGCATATACAGGGTGACCCAAAAAAATTAATGAATGCGTAAATATATTTTATTGATTTAATCAGGAACTCCAGAACCGAATGTTTTGAAATCTTGCAAATGTTTTAAAGTTATAAAGAGCATAATATATTTTTAGTCAAAATATATTTGGTTATCTTCTCCAAAAAACTGATGACGTCAGCTCAAAAGTTTGCCGATCAAATCCTATCTAGAATATACAAAATATGATGAGTCTGTACTTGTGATCTATCACTCCGTTCATATTTTTTGGATTTGCATATACAGGGTGACTCAAAAAAATTAATGAATGCGTAAATTTATTTTATTGATTTACTCAGGAACTACAAAACCGAATTCTTTGAAATACACTGCGAAAAAAAAAACATCATAGGCATGCAGTCGTCACGTTTCCGACAGCGAGGGAAGTACTGTCCAAACTCTTTAGACCAATTTTTTGTCTAATAAAAATTGACACCGACGACAGACAGACAGATAGACCGAAACAGAAGACCTACATTTTCGTACTCTAGGGGTCATAAAATGTCGAGAAAACTGGAAAGCAGAAGTAAAAATCGGTTCGGAGTCACTTTGACAGAACTTCCTTCGCTCCCGAACAAATGCTTTTTCAGAAAACTAAAATTTTGTTTTGAGAATTTTATTTCTTATTATAACCTCTATAATTTAAAATAAAAATATGCGTGGACTGTTAAAGTACAAGTACAATATGAAATTTATTTCAAGCAAATAACCAACCGGACAACACAAAATTAAAATAATAATAATAAACAAAATCGAGGTGGATTCATAAAGTACAAGTATAGGAGTATGTATATATTTTATGTAATTTAAATAGCGAAAAAAGAAAAATAAACATTATTATTTTGAAAGAGTATTCTTGTTATTTAAATAAAAGATAATTGTTCAGTTGTTATTTTTTATGATAACGCCAATATAATAAAATAAAAAATATTACATACATATATTACCAGAAATTTGGAAAAATTAGACAACCATTTTTCATTTAATTAATGAAATTATTATACAGGCTGTCCAAAAAAACTGCCGACCAAATCGATGACGCAGGGCAGGAGGAAAGAAAAAATGATGTGTACCAATGTTTTTTGTCCAAATGTGGAAGATATTGTTTTATTTTTACAAATTTGAAAAAGTCTTTTGAGTGCCTTTTTTTAATTCGGGAGACTCTTGGATACTCATGGTGTATTATTTTGGGAGCGCATTATAACAATTTTGGGGGACTTTGGTGTTCTATTTTTAACAATAATAATTTTTGGAAAATTCTGACTTGACCTGTTTTTCAGTTAATTTTGGGACCCCGCATTTTTTTTTAATTTAAAACGATCTTGAGGTTCTATGTATTTCTGTTTGGAAAGAATTTGAAAGTGTTTGGGAGCCTCTAGTGTCTTTTCTTATAATAATTTAATTAAATTTCTTAGAGGATACGTCATTAGCCAAAATCAACCTTATCTTAGCAGGAACTAGCCCCGCCCACCCGCCCTCTCTTTTCTTAGAGGGTATCTCATTAGACAAAATCAGTCTTATCTTAGCAGGTACTAGCCCCGCCCACCCACCCTCTCTTTTCTTCGAGGGTATGTGATTTGCCAAAATCAATTTTATCTTAGAAGGTATTAGCCCCACCCACCCGCCCTCTCTTTTCTTGGAAGGGATCTGATTTGTTAAAATCAGTCTTATCTTAATAGGTATTAGCCCCGCCTACCCATCCTCATTTGGAAACATTACGAGGTATTCACGCATTAGGTGCCTGTAATGTTGCCAAGTTTACTTTTATAACATTATTTTTCGTAAACCAAACCATATTTTTTTTTTTATTATTTTTTTGGGACTCCCGAAACCCCTGTACATAACGTACTGAAGAGTTAATCGGCCTTTTTCCAGACACCCGGTATAAATCGATATTTTGTTTTTATAAATGAACGTCAAATTGACGTAAGGAATATTTTAATGACTTTTCTCGAACTTAGACTTACGTACTTAATAATGGTCCGCTGAGTTGGTGCGCCAATTTTTGAACACCCTGTATGTGTTAGTCCCATGTGAAATTAAAAAAAATCGTTTCGTAGATTCCCCAATCCAAACGATGACCACTTTCATGATTTCGCGACGTTCCATGACCCCAAGGGTACATAACATTAGGTCTCCAATTTCCGTTTGTGTATCAGTCGCTTTTCCTAAACTACCTGACCGTTTATTGTCAAATTTTGTATGTGTGTTGGAAATATCGCGTAGATGGTAAAAGGCTGACCAAAATTTAGCTAATCATCTCAACCTACAATTTGGTAACGTCCATTCAAGGTTTTTTTAGTAATCGCCATTTAAATTTTATAAAAAAATTACAAAGTAACGTACTTCTATATTTGTGGTTTATGAATCCATCTTGATTTTTTACCGAAAGCATTCGAGTTTCGAAAAAAGAATAGGAATCGCATGGTCACATTATACACCATAGATTTGAGATTTGTATTTAAATATATTTAACAATATTAAAATAAGAATTAATATAATAAGAGCTACTTGTCCAAAATAATATTCATAGCGTTTTGTCCCATTGTACCTTAATTATAATTTGAGTCGCTCTGTTTGGAAGAGACAAAGTCATTCAAATTCTTGCGCTTAATCTGGTCAACCAGCTTTGCACGTGCTTAATGGTCGCATTCTTTCGATATACATATAAACATTAACAGTAGAAATTAAGCATGTGCTCATAATCTCGTCGAAAATTACCATTTCAAAAAATAATCGAGTCTTTTAAATAATTTCTGAAGTCACAAAATAATCTTCAAAGCAACCTACTTCTCACGATGACATTTGGAAATT